AAAATGACAGAAGCTTTTAAAAAAGACAAAGTTATATAATAATAAAAATGTTAATAAAATACTACAAATATATTTAAAAAACTTTAATATTTAAAAACATAAAAATTACAAAATCAAATAAAATTACTGAGAATTAAAATAAAAGTAAAATAACTTAAAATATAAAAATAAAAACTGGTTATGATGTCATTGGCAGGCGACACAATGACACTATGGACACGGTCCGTGTCACGAGTTAAAATTGCTTATTTCTCTGGATTTAAACATTCTTCGAAACATTTGGTATAATGTAAGTACACAAGTCAGCAAAAAATATAACACTATTCTAGTGGTTTTTGGATATTTTAATAAAAAAATCTTACATATTGTGCCTTTAATTGCTTCTGTTGTCTTCATTTGTAAGTCACTTTTGGATAAAAGCATCTGCTAAATGATTAAATGTAAAATTTAAATGTATAGTTTTTAAAAAGTGTTTTTTATTAAAAAATGGTTACTGGTTTCCAATTCTATCCTTCACTTGCTCTTCCATCCTTCCGTCCATATTAATTCTCTCTCTTTCTCTCTCAGAGGTATGTGTACTATATCACTGAGGGTGTTTACGGCCACATGTTGACCCCCCAGCCACCAGAGCAGATCACCGCTATCCTAAAGCTGCTACCCAGCTGTTTCCAAGGTGACGAGCGGAAGATGCAGAAGATGTGGGAGGATCTTCTGGAGGAGGTCCAGAGAGACTATGAATTCAACCTCCGCAAGAGCATTGGTATGACGCACAACACCAGCTATGTAGATTATGTAGAGCAGTGTTTCTCAACTCGTGGGTCGCGTGTACGGCCAAAGAAACGACATCAACAACAAAAAACATAATTCTTAATGTTTTTCTGATGCGAGACTTTTATTTTAAAAGACGTGCATAAAAGCTGTTGACACTTCTGTCAGATGCAGTTTAAGTAAAGTGTTCCTGAGAAAAACACGCTTTCAGTATCTGCGGGCAGATGATATGTTAACAGGCTTAATGTCAGTGTCATTATTCTATCTTTATTTTCGTAACTTGTTATGAAATAAAAAGTCTCTCTCCTCAGAAAAACGAACTATCCTGTCCTGCCAGATGTTATACTGTGCTCGTAGCGCGCACTCTTAAATAGCACGTGCGAACGCGGCGCCGTGCTGTATATCACTTCACTAAAGCGCAGAAACTACGAGCATGCAACGCGTGAAATAAAAGTACAGTACCGATAAATCACATAACTGGTACTGCGTGTGTTAGCTGGGAAGGATTTGCATGAAGGTATGATATTCATTCTATTCTATTTATATTAGTATTGTATATTCACCATGGTAACTGTTGTTTCTAAAACCCAAAAATACCTTGTTATTTTCACTTTGTTTAATTTTGTATATGTTTAAATGTAGGGCTGGGTATCGATTCAGATGTCCCGATTCGATTCGATTCGCAAGCTCTCGATTAGATTCGATTCTCGATTTTTTGATTACATTCAGTGAATATAGTTTTAATACAAATGCTATTGATATTTCTAAAAAATGAACAGTAAACATCAGGAATCGAAAAATCTTTTTTTTTTTGCCCAGCCCTATTTAAATGACTGTGGTGGCTCAAACCAACTTAATTGTATTAACAAAAACTAGTTTGGGCCTTCTATTTAATAGCCTTACCTTATAGGTCTGCAGATTCGAGATTTCACAGAAAATCTCGTAGTGTATGATGGGCGCAGACTCCGATTTATTTATTTTTTATATATATATTAGTGCTGTCAAACGATTAATCGCGATTAATCGCATCCAAAATAAAGGTTTTTGTTTACATAATTTATGTATGTGTACTGTGTATATTTATTATGTATATATAAAGTTATATATTTATTATGTATCATATATATTTATTAATTAAAACATTTATATATTTATATTCTTATATATTATATTATATATAAATATATTTAATATATAAACAACATATTTTTTCTTAAATATATACATGCATGTGTGTGTATTTATACTGTATATACATAATAAATATACACAGTACACACGCATATATTATGTAAACAAACA